GGTGTGATGGTAGAATCAAGTTGTGCCACCAGCATTGGAGATTCAGGATAGGAAGACAAACCAATTCATATCAATTCACAGATATGCATGGACATGACACGAGTGCATTTGTGGAGCTGCTGTGCATGGAAGACATTTTTTTAACAAATATAGACGGATTGGTTATTTCATGTCTATTTGTAAAATCTGATTCATTCAAGTTTAGATGTCTAAAAATGTGAAAAAGGCAGATGCATTTTGCGAAATGTGTTGTGCTGCTTTAAAGCACACAGGCAGCAAGACGAACCTTCTCCAACTCACCTGCTGAAGAGGCATGCCCCGCCTCATTAGCCCAAAGAGTGGTGAGCTAAGTACTGCAAGTTTTTTTCTTGGCCTTGCTGACTAACAGCTCCTTTCAGTCAAAGACATTCGATGAAGCTATAGCTGTCTTTATCTTTGAAAGTATCTAGTCTTACAGTTTTATAGAGAACAAAGGCTTCAAACGCCTCCTCCACGTCTTGGAGTCTGGGTTCATAAAACCAAATAGGAAGCTGTTCTCTGAGACAGAAATCCCTGCCTCTCTTTGACAAAGTAAGACACAACACGGGCCCCCACACACAGAGTAAGAAAGACCAAGTAGGACGGGTTATCATGACTGTCATTAGCATTGTCATAACTGTTACAATCTTGACAAGCGGACTGGGCGTTTGTTTACAGTATTTTACTGCTAATACTAGCTTACATTTTTCCCATCTGTAAGCAGTTATGAAGGAGCTCTTTGTAAACGGTTAGTTTATGATTTACTGATCAATATGTAACTTAAAGGGATATTCCGGCATTAAATTTATTTAGGGTCAAACACACCGTAACACCGAGTTAGACTCCCCCTCAAGAGATGAATGTTGCCGACTGCTTGCTTCTCTAGTTATACCAACTTTAGTAACAACCGCACAATAGCAGTACACAGCGGTCTCAGGAGCCATGCGCACACCTCAACCAAAAAGCCACTCTATAGCCACAAATAATGCTCAGAACAGCACCTAACTTCATCAACAGTACATATAGGGTCCTAGCTATAGCACTAGCCACCAAACATCTTTTTAACTTTGTCTAATTTCTTTAGCAAAGAGACTAAACACAACTCACCCACTCTCATCCCGAAGCCGCTTGTTTGTAGGGAGACCTCGGACGAGTCCATCACCGAGTGCAGTGGAGTTTCGCAGCTCAAGGAAGAACATTTACGATCATTACTTTATCATTTCCTTGAAGTAATAATCACCATATTAATCATTTTGCACTGCAGAAGCGGTAGTTCTTCTGCTTTAGCGTCTCGGTCTGATTGCAATTCAATGAAGAAATGATCTCAGCTGTACAGTTTAAAGTGCATTAAACTGACCTATACTGCAAACAGTGCAGAAGCAGACAGGGCGAAACAGCAATGTGTGTTTGGGCATGTCTGAGTGTGCATGTATGTAAAGCTCATACTGTGTATCCAGCTTCTTCCACATCATAACATTATATGTCGTCACACACCAGGATACAAATATTACTTCAAGAAGAAAGTATGAAGGAGTGAGGACAACAAAGCCACTTCACAGTGCTGAAGTGATGATCACTCAAAGTTTTGTGAACTCTCTGTGTTTGACTATTTTACAGACACTGTGTTTTTGTCAATGTAGTGTCACAGCTTCTTTCAATAGTGTCCTCATCTCTGGAGATAACTGTCCCTTACTTTCACTGTCTCCTTTTGCTTCTTGGTTCCACTTTTCCCCCCATCATATCTCCCAATTTTCTACCTGCAGTTAAAGCAGTGCTTGAAGTCAGAGGTTTATGTGTGCTCTGGTGTACTTCACCAGCAAGCAGAAGACTGCAGACTGACTGGCTGCTATCTCTGTTTCTGCTGTTGGTCATGTTTTTTGATCCACATACTGATCCAGTAAAAATGTTTCAAGTTTATCGTAGTTGTCGACCGAAGTTTTGTGGAGATCCACTATCAGACTGATGCCAGTTCGGCCTGATTTGTCCCGTTCATTTCTCTGATCCTGGAACAGTATTCTCTCTCCCTCTGGCCTAGGAGCTCTACAATGCTCTTTTCAGCAACATAATATTCTGTAAATGGATTTCAGGCTTTAGCTCAGGCAGCTTTTCACATATATGGCTTATATGGAGAGTCATTGTAAAGCTATGAGGACTTCTTGATGAGAAAAAAAAAAGCCTCTGACACAGCTTTTCTGAACAACCTGGGACATGAATTGGATAGTGGTTGTGTCTATGATCCTCAATCATTTTCTTATCAGTGGTTGCTGTCAAAGCTCAGCTAAGGAATGACCCCAAATGAAAAGGGGAGAAATGAAGGACGGTGGACACTTCCTACTTGCCCGTGGCCCCCTTTTGAGCTGAGTGTGGTGACACATCTGCCTATTGACGCCAGTGCTTTATTCCACCTGAAATCCCCCCCTGATACCCGCTCTGTGAAGGTTAATGGGGGATAAAGCATTTTGTCATAAAGCTCACAGCAGCACCTTTTCTTTGAGCCAACAGGCGGGACAGAAAGAGAAATTTATATCACCGCCAGCGGTCACTAGTGAACAACTTGTCACTGTGGCCTATTTCAGAACAAGGTACCCGCTAGTGGCAAGCTGTGGATGCATCAAGTACAAGGGCACAGCTTAAGATGTGTAGTGCAGCTTTGTCATTGGATGCAGACGCAATATTTCTACTCTGTGGTCGGCATTTCTAAATCAGATCAGTGCAGTCGTTTACTGTCTTCTAGTTTGTCGAACAATAACACATGGATTGTGTTATTAACTGTCCAAAAACACTTGAAGAACTCAGATGTGATAAAGAATGAAGTGATAAAGGTCAGCCTGGGCCTGTTTTCTGTCTCTTTGACATACAGGTGAAAAACATTTTCCTCCCTAAAGGTCTCCTGAGCCTTGAGGAAGCAAATCCACCTGCAACAAAATGCTGCTATCCATTCAAATAAACACTCATTTACAGACCTGTGGATTTTAATATTATCTGGAAAATATCACGCAAACAGACAGAAAGAGGCCTGAAACCAGACAGTCTGAACCTAAACCGTTAAAAATGAGTGATTGTTGTCAGACTGATGAGGGTAGAAAGGATTTTTTGAATTCTATATGAAAGACATCATTTATTTTCTTTCTTTTTAGCAGGCTGAGGTGCTTTTCATGGAAATTGATTTCACAATCCATGATTAACTCACACTGCATTTTGCTTTTACCAAAGCCAAGCATGACGATCGGATCTCTTTTCACTTCAAATGTGGAGTGAAACTAAAGTAATTCAATTATATGATGAGGTAAATTAGGTGAGTGATTGAGTCTCTCTCTGTCTCTGTTACCCACACACACTCACACACATGAAACTTGATAAATCAGTCAGCAGAGTACAGCTTTAGTGGCTGTATATTCAGTATTTATGGAGCAACACTGCCCCCAGCTGTAACATAGCATGAGCTACTTGTGCTACACTGAGTGGAGTGATTTTCAGGCTGATAACTCACAGCCAATGGTGAAGTGATGCAGTAAATGGACCAGAAATTCTGCTGTAGGCATAGTTGGCTGGTAAAAGATGTCATGTTCTTTTTGCAAGTTTTGACAGGACAAGATTTTTCTCCCATTTTCTCCATTAGAGCCTGTGATGGGGTCGCAATATGGCTGCAATTGATCCAGCTGACCGCCATAAGAGGGTCATGCTGTGTTTATATTTAGTAACCTCTCCTTAAACGATGACTGATGAGTCGATAATTTGATTCAGGTACCTTGAATTTATCTGAATCCAGAAGCTCCCAGTTGTGGACTCATATGAACTCATATTTATCTACCCAGCAACAGTGGTTTTCTGCCTCTGCTACATGATGTTTATTATTTAATACTCTTGATTTATTTTATTTACGTCTTTGTTTTGAGCCTCAAAAAGACCATAACTGTTTCAAACAATAGCCCAACAGAATAATTAATAGATTAAACATCTCTTCTTGGCATTGAAAAGTAATTGAAACTTCCTCTGCAAACATTTAAATCTGAAGTGAAACTTGCTCTTTCCTCAGAATTTATAACCCTTTTTGTGTTTATGATTTTATTAGATTTGAAAGATTGTGGGAAAAGGATGACCTGTCAAATAATAGTGTAAATTCTTTTAGCACATTTTCATTTAATTTTGTTCACTAAAACTAATCCATACATGTTTCATACGGAAACTAAAGTGCAGTCTCAAGAAAAACAACAATGAATTTCCCAATGAAATAACTGATTTTGTCATGATTTTACTGAATCTTGTAAAACAAGCTCAACCTCCTATTTTCAAGACATTTACGTTTGTTCACTTTTAAATGGCTTGACTACGGCCCTGGATTACATTTTATAGAAATTACATTATTTTAATGATAACATGATTTACTCCTCTTCGTAAATCTATGTGTTTGGCTGAAGTCTATCCTCCTGAAATTAAGATTGAATCACTTCAGTACCTCAATGCAGCTTCCACAAGAGGTCAGCAGAAACCCCCGTTACTCTAAATGACTTGTTTTCAAATCCGTGGAAAGTCAATAAAAGCCACAGAGAATCATCCCACACACTGTGACACATTTACTCGTCACATTTTCTAACCTTGATAAATTGTTTAAAAGTAAAATCTATTTCTTGAGATATTCACCGCTCTACCCAGACTTTGAATCTGCCAGTGAAGCTGCACAGCTTGGAGCCAGAGTGGCGTTTTCCACCCATCTGCCCTTGAGCAGATCTGCCCTCCTGTGTGTGCCTTGAAGCTCATGAGTCACGCATGCAGATGCCACTTGTTGTGCATGATTATAACCTGATTCTGCTCGAAAGCTGTCATGCAGCAGTAGAATACAGACAGAACTAAAACCCTGGTATTGTGTAGAGATTAATTTAAATAAATGCAATATCATCTAAAAGCCTCTGAGGGCGGCGTAGGTAACCAGTTATGGGCACACGTTCAGTGAAGGTGACAAATTCAATGTCCAGTGTCTGTTATTAGCTGGGATTCAGTTATTCATTTATTCACAGGTCCACACACGAGCATCCCTTAATCTTGTACAGAACAAAATACAAAGTACATCAAAGTTAACTTCTCAGATAAGTAAAAGAAAAGTCGGTTTTATTGACACACCTGACTGCAATCCTCTGAAGCCTTGACATAAGACAACGCTTTACCCAGCAGTCAGAGCGCCAGTCACATTTATGTCCGAAACTGTCAATGAATTGATCATATACGCTATATTTTGGCTAGAACACATTGCATGTATGATTAGCCCCCCCAAAAGTAGCGAAACAGCAAAAACTTAAAAATGTTTAACCTTATTCACTAAAAAATTAGAACATACCGCTCAAGCTTTGGAATTACATTCTCCAAATTGTAAACAAGAAATTCCACAGATAATGCATATATATTGTGTATAACCTTATTTTAACAACAACAACAACAATAATAATAATAATAATAATAATAATAATAATAATAATAACTTTATCTGAATAGCATTTTTAAAAAACAGAAGTTTACAAAGTGCTTTGATATGATGTCATAGAGCACATGAAAAAAGACAGATAAAAACAAAAACCTCAGTAAAAACGGAATTGAAGGCCATTTCCATGGCGCTCAGACAATACCAGAATCATGCAACATAAAATAAGACCATGAGGACCAAAATAAAAAGATAAAATAGTTAAGAAAATAGGAAAATGCAATTAAAAGGGAGGACAAAAGCTGAAACAGGATAGTAAATATAAAAGGAAATATCAACAATGATAATAAAATAATAACAGGTAATCCTGATCATAATAGCAATGATAAAATAGAGGAACAAAAATGAGTAACAGATAAAACAATAAAAGGCCTAGAAGGTTAATTAAGAAAAGAGTTCAAGTAAAACAAAAGCTAAAAAGACAGTAAAGCTGAAATAAGATAAGAGATGACAGATAAAAGATAAAAGATAGTATCACATAAAAGCAAGTCTGTAAAAGTAAGTTTTTAAATTTGACTTAAAATTTTACTGCTGGCTATTCCTTTTTACAACTTTTTGGCAGCACATGAAGGCAGCACGACAGATTAATCTTTGCCAGCAGATGGCTCTATCTAAGGCCTCAAAGTAGAAGCTTGAGCAAATTGTTTTTATTTGTCATTATTATTGTTATTGTTGTTACCATCAAATATAGATCACATTATATATATATTATTATTTTACATATATTGACAATCTTAAATGTACATTTCCTGACTAAACTGAGCTCCTAGGAGACTATCTGTAAGCACACAGACATGTCACGTAGTGAAAGTCCTTAAAAGTTGATAATGTCAACGTTAACTCGTTATATGGCCCCCCTCCCCTGGGGGACACTACAGGAATGTCACAGCCTAAAGCTTGTTATTCATGCAGGCTATTGAACAAACGTCACATGCGTAGCCTAAATGTCAGCCGTGGAAAACTACCACTGGGGAGGAAATAAAAACAAGAACAAACTGAGCTTTCCACGCACACTTCTGCCCTTTTTACCGTCCAGGGATGCAGGAATGTGAAGGATGCTGAGTGTCCACCTGATACACTGCTCTGCGCCCGGGGGAGGGTCTCCACTCTCCACTCCGGCTGCCATAACAGGATTCGCTCAGCTCGTGCATGCAGGGAAGGGGAAGGCGGGCATCCTCAGAGAGATCTGTCAGGAACATGACCATCAGGGGAACCTAAACGCATTATTCGGCTCCGGTCAGATGAATCGACAGCTTCTTGTGTTTTGTGTTATCCTCTAAAGGAGAAGAGGGGGGACATCGGTTTGTGTGCGGAGAAGACAGGGGATCGACATCATCAGGCGCTGCGCCGTGTGAGGCGAGGTCACCGCAAAGTACCACGGTAAGATGCAGGGAAAACAACAACGCTGAAATCAAGCCGGGCTACTTACGCTATCCATCCTTTTTGCGCGTAAACAGCGACTGTTCACTGCCCATTATTTCACCCCCTTTTATTCTTCAACCCTCCCCGACAATGTGTATCTCTGATGCGTAATACTCCCTTTAATTCCCTTGTAATTAGACCTATTGCGTTTCGCGTAATGGACATGTACGCTACGATAGATCTCCAGGGAGGGGGAAGGAATGCGAAGATGCGTCTACTCTGTCAATACAGCCATTCCTGAGCACAGAGCAACATGGACCACATACAGTAAATATGGGTTAGTGGAGCAAATCTATACGCCCTGCGACCACTAGGATGCTCCATGTGATTGCTCCAGCTTCACTAATAACCCCTTTTTACATCGACTCAGATACAATCCAGACTAAAATCAGATATAATGGGGAAGGGGTGCATATTGGGTATGCAGCATCCTCACTGGTCTAGACTGAAATCGCGAGGGGGCGAGTACACGTAGTGATCATGTAGTAGACAGGCCTGTGGGCTGCATGCTAAACAGTGGATGTTGCACGAGGTTGCAGCGATATAAGGGCTGTTTCCCACGATGATTAAAACGTGACAGACATTTTTTATCATCAGGATATGTAGGAATAAGATGTTGGTCTTCGTGTGTAAAAGGAAACCCCAGAGTAGACATCCATAACCACACCTGTCTCATTGTCAGTGTGGTGTTGAGTGAAAATGTAAAGCACTTTCATCTTGATGGCCACAGCTGATTAAAACAGACTGATAATGAGATGCACATTTGCTAACTCGGTGTCATCATTGCCTCAGAATGGGAAACCGGTGGAAAAAGCCATGTGTTCATACATGAATTATAAATGTCCATAACCTCATTCACAACAACGCTACCTTCAGCTCTACCCCTGATTAAATGGCCCAGTAAAATCATCTGTTAATTATAGAATTACCTCAGACCACCATCTGTGGACTAAATATTGGACTACATAACCCACATCTATTTCTCCAGAGGGATAGATGAGCTATAGTTAGGCAAAGACAAGTGCAAAATCTAATTTCCTGATGATGACTCCAGGTAAGGAAGACACTGGCCTGTTTCACACTGTTGTAGCCAAGTAGCTGTAGATGCAGCCCTGTGTAAACTCTGGCATATGAATGCAGGACATTGATATGACAACAGCTTGGGTAGAAAACCATGAGTCACTGTTGAGTCAACACGATCCACTTCCCTTGGTTACAATGATATCCATCTGCTCGGGGGATAATTCAGAAGTTGCCATGGATATTCTGTCAAATAACAGCCATAAAGCTTAATCCAGTGCTCCCCTGGTCTCATTAGGTTTCAGATCTGTTTGTGTTACTCCAATTGAGACATATGATATCTTAATTTAAGGCAGCCATTCATAAAAGAGCAGAGAAATGATCTCCACTCCAGAGTCAGTTTTCTGACACCTCTATGAAGACACAGCCAGTTTGAGTGAACTGTAAAGTGTTTTTATCAATATTTTCTCCTCTAATAAGCTGTTTTGGAGAGTTTTCACTGCATACTAAAATATTCAACCTAGAGATGGTTTGTTTTGGAAACCAAGGCTTCTACCTTCACTGGCTTCTAATTGAACATTTTATCATCTTGATCCCACAATTACACGGTGCCTGAAATATTCAATGACGTGTGCGATAATCAGAGGTTAATTTAGCCGTACACATTTTTCAGTAGATACCTGTCATGATTTACTGATCTAACTTGTGTCTAACTTTTGTTCGACTGCTGCCTCTTTGAGAGTTGTCAGTTGCGATCGCTTCTTAATTGCACTGCACTGTGACTGCAGACTGCAGCGTTGATTATGACAGAGTGCGTAGGATGGAAATTACTGTATTCATCATACCTCTGGAGGTAGGCCAGCAAATTTCTGCTCTGTATTAATCTTCAGATATGGTCTAGTTGTAGGATCATGGTCTTGTTTAAATAGATACTCTAACAAATTGAACCCCTGACTCGTGCTGTGCTCTCTTTTCTAAAATCAGATTTCATAAATAAACTTTTTTGAAGCTGAGCTGCTTGCCACGCTCTCTTGCTAGGTCAGTGTTTCATAAGTAAACCATGACTTGCGCTGTAACTTGCTCTGAGGAGAGGAAGTGCTCGAGTTCTCTGATGGTGAGGGAAGATACAGGCTTTTCATTTTAATGAGAGCTGCTTCAGTAAACACCAACATCGGAGGAGACAGAAAGCAGCAAACAAACAGGTTTGACTAAAGCAACAACACAATTTAATTTGTCTGACAAACAAAGTGTTTAAAGATGATCTTAAAGTGCTTTTTTTCGTTTCTTTTCGTACTTACAAGACACTGGAGTGTTAAAAAAGTGTTAAAAAAATTTCAGTATCATCATTATTTATTTGCTTTACACTACCAGCTATTAGTGGAGAAATATGATTGTTTGAAAATGACATGATTGAAAATGCTTCCAGGTAACATAGTCCGTTATCATCAACAATAGTTTAACAATAGCAATTTCTACTAAGGATAAAATTAAATGACTTAAGTGAAGAATAAAAATATAAACTAGAAGTGAAGAAGCTTTCTTTCAGCACTAGAAAGTTATGGTGACTAGACGGATGTACATGCTCATAAAGATCCCTGTGTTTCATGTGGTTTCAGAAGTATGCCTGATTCTTATGTAGGACCAACAAGTTATGAATATTTATAAGGAGATAAGATAGATACGGTGATCAGTATCATCTTATAGACACAATTCAAGATGAAAAATAAGAGACTTAGAGGTCCAAATATAAGAGACAGCAAACACAACTAATTTCAGACGACTTATCTTGTGTCCAAGAGTTAATAACAGGAAAAATATCACCTTTATTAGCCTTCGGTGTCTACATAGATTCATCCATTTAAATCACAGTTTGATGTGATGATTAGATAATCTATTTCTTGAGCAAAAAGCTCGCTCTAGCTGCGTCTCTTACTGAGCTGGACAATTCCACAGATGGTGAGGTAAAACAAGGTGAACTGGACTGCATGAATGACTTGGCACCACTTCTGATTGAGTTTCTCTCCCCCATCACTAGTTTTTTCCCGTTTACCTGTCCTTAAACGCCTCTGTATCCCATACTGGGTTCCTGCAAATGTTTACTTCATGCACCGGTTTCGGTTTTGTTGATCTCCACGTCATATCCTGCGCGTTTTTCTTAAACCTCTCCTGCCTTTTATTTGCTGCTTTTGTCTCTTAGTTTTCCTACAGTAAATAAACTGAAGTCAATGTAGCTGGACTTCACTCAGCTGGAGTTTGTGATCAGCAAGTCAAGAAATAACAGATAGTTAATATGATGTAATGACCACTTAGATTTTAATACAGGTATGTCATAATGAATATTTAAATGTCTAAGGACTTCCTCAGGACTGGTTCCTTGGTTCTGTCCCTACAGTTTTAACCCACTTTTACTGGACTCTAGTGAAATAAACAAACTCTTCCCCTTGGTTGAGCTGCAGTAGAACAAGTGCTGAAGCAGTAATTGCAGAGATGATTATCTCTTGTCCCCGGTTTCACCTTTACTATGCCCCAGAAGTGTCATTTTCAGAGTCCTCAAACTTGAGGCTGGAGATTACTCCGCTCATCTTCTGATATGAGGGCGTTAAAATAATATTCCTCGGCTATTTCCCTCGGCGATGGCCTCTTATTTCATGGCATGAAGGCTCTGACACGCTCAGTAGAGCGGTCAGTCTGGGTTCAGGACTCTTGTGAGTACGAAGTTTGCCTATATGAAGACTTCCTTTTACTTTATTCAACAAAAGATTGAAGAACTGTTTCATCTTTTTTAGAGAGGAAAGTCTTTATCTTCTACTTTCAAAAGCAGCATTTTGTCTCGTCTTTTTGTCAAGTCAGAAACCCTGCAGATCAAACAGAATCAAAACAAACGGATTCTGGGCATAAATCGGGTTTTTCAACCTGGCTTACATAATGCAGCCTCAGTGCGCTCTTCAGATAAAGTATTGTGAATGGAGGTTCCACTGCACGCATCTGTGTTAGTAGTTCAATCCATTACACATGAAACAGCAGATTTGTCATCTCAGGAAACCCTGTCCTACTCTGGGATAGAAGGCATTAATATTGAATAAACACATCAGGAAGAGAGAATATGAATAACAGGTTTTAGCTTCATTTGAGTCATGAGTAACGTAGGAAGTCTGAACAGGACTGATTTAGGCAAAGATTCCAAATATTAATAAGTTTTATCAAAGTATAACAACTTAATCTTAAAACAGTGTTTAGCTACATTAATCAGTGTTGTCTGTTGTGCTATAAATTAATGATTGAAGCACAGAAAGCCGGGTGATGACTGCACTCCTATGAAACTTTAATAGCCTGCATGTTTCTCCTCTTAGTCAATGGACAGAGTGGCATAGAAAGGAAGCGCTTGTGCTTGCAGTGTTCGTGCATCATGAGTGTGTCTCTTTATTCTTTGGACAGAGAAGACAGTCATAGATTGTGTGTGAAAGAGATGAAGACAGTTTTGTAAAAGTTTCCCAAACCACTTTTAAGGCAGTTGTGAAAATGAATGGTTGTGTATAGATGTTTTATACCGATTATCATCTACTTGAGGCTACATCACAGCTGCAGAGAGCTTATCCTCCCTCTCTGGAGTGTGTTTTAACTTTAGTGTTGCATGTGACCCTCATGATCTATTATTAACGTCTTTGAATCTCTGCTTTAAAATGAACTTTTCTTGAATCTACTGAGTAACTTTCTACTAAGTTGAGCTGACGTGCTCAGACTCTGAGAAAAAAGGGCTCTTCTGGTGATTCATCTTTGATTGACAGATCCGGTAATAAGATTAGTAGTTGCCAGCTGGGGGTCAAGGGTCATGTGAACTATGTTGTGATTTTTTGTATCACTATAGATTATTTTAATTGACCTTTTTGTGTCATCTGTGTGTTTACTTTATAGTTCCTTATATAGAGAGAAACACAACAAAGTGGAGCTTTTTACTTGACAGCGTTTCATGTTGGAGAAGCGTCACTATAAGGAACACCTCATAAATCTACAACTGAGCATTACACAGCCAGCCTAACCAGCTGTATATTGTTTTTGTGGTTCAGGGTGAGCCCAGCCTGAGAAAATTACAGAAATTACATCACTTGAGTCATCTTTGCTTGGGTGTGGAGTTTTAAATACACGGCTGTTATCCTGCCAGGGACTTTCTATAAAAGGGTTACATTACAGTAGGTGTGGGATTTTGTAGACCAAGAGTTTATTCCAGAGACTAGAAATCTGGATGACACCCCTTTAAACATTAAATCCTGAAAGATTTGAGTGATTTAAAGACATACAGGCCTTTGAATTTGTAGGATCTTGCTATTCTCATATGCGCAGTGACAGATCTTCTCTGATTGAGTCTCTCGAGCAACTTCATGTACTCTGTTTGGTTTAAGTGAGGGGGCGGTGCAGGCCGGAGGAAGAGGAGAAATCTTTGGCATTGAAATCTGTATCACATCATCATATACAGGCTGAGGATGTTTCTTCAGCGGCGGAAAATGTAATACAGACAGAATATAAAGCAGAGAAACTTAATGTGCCTGATGTCATCAGTCCACCCACTCCCTGCAGTGAATTTTGCTGACTATTGCTCAGAGCATTTACACACCATATCAGCCCGACTCCGAGTAGACTTATCACTAAGAGGTTGGCAGAGAAAAGTTCATGTGAAATCATGTTTAATGTAGCCGTTTGCGTTCACACATGCAAAAATATATATATATATTCAGGGGTTTTGTAAACGTGTGAAAGGGACATGTGTCGGCTGGTGCTGCACTGATTTGTGCATTAGTCCAATGATGTTGAAAATTTATGATCCGGTGTAAATGGCATGTGATGTAAACTGTTAGCCATAAATCTTTGGCTAAATATGATTGGCTCGGATTGATCCCACCACGTTGAATATGATTAAAACCTTTTGCCAAACACAATAAAGACATCGTACAAGCATTTCAACTAATAGTGTTTTCTGGAGGACGGTTGCAGTTTTCCTTTCTCTGCCTGAGTTCACTTTTTCACCCTTACAGCCCCTTCACAGTAAGATCTGTGTTTGTGACACTCTGGGAAATGACTGAATAACTCAACTGAGACTCAGAAATTATTATTTGTGCTTTGATATATGTCAGAAAACCACTGTACTCTAATGAAAGCCAAGAGTGTGGTCAATATCTTGGAGATGATTTAAACTCATAGCAGATGAAAACACTAATAGGAGTGTACAAATCAAGCCTTTGAAAGGAAATGAACCAGTTTACAAGTCTAGTTTTTCTGCTGGATCCATAATTGACTGTTTTACTGTGGAAGCTGAAACTGAATCCATCTAAATAATAATGATTTGCCGTCATGTCTATTCCAGAAAAACTCACTCCTCTTTTTCACGACAGAAAAGTACTTTTCCTCACGAGTCCTATTTCGGAAGTGCAGCACTAAGCCACATCTTAAAGCTGCGTTTCTTAAGAGTCCTTTAACCAGGTTTACACTTCTGGGGGTTTAAGGGGGTGCTTTTAATGGCAAACATGTTTATGTTCAGATGCCAAAGACTTTGCATCATTAGGAAAAGTTGAGCAGAACTGGTGGTTCAGCACTGCAGGGAAGGAGAGGTGTTTTCCATACCTTGTTCATTCATTCTCCTTCGACTGAGTACTCTAGTCCAGATGGGTTAAAGTAAATGACTCACCTCCTCTTCTCTGCTTTCTGCTCAGCTGCGTCACATCAGCCAAATGTTAACAATATGGCTTTGTGTGTCATACCTGTGGGCAGAGGGACTCTGGGAGAGTAGGAGTAGAGAGGGCAATAGAGACGTGCCTTCATCCTTCGACTCAGACAAGGTGATAGAATAACATCGGAGTAAAGTCTTTGTGAATAGAGTGGAGCTCATTCTTAGACAGCTATGTTCACACATTTATTCAGGGTGGCATTTAATTAATCTGCTGTTTGTGTATACCAGTCTTCTGTTTACTGCCATTCGATTTAGAGGTGATTATTATGTTATCAGATTGTTGGAAACAAATGTGTGCAAACATCTCGTGCAAAAACCGGTTTCTAAAAGCTAATATATGGACAATTAGTTTTGCATGGTTGAAGACGAATAGCTTGTTAATTTTATTTGTTTTGCAAGAGTGGATTCTGTAAGTTGATAGAGAGGAGGGTCTTTGTAGAGGGGAGCTTTAAAGAGTACACAAACATGTGGCATGTACAGATCAGGTTTTTCCACATCAACACACTCTTACCCAGTTAATTAAACGCAGCGCACAGCCACTCACTCAGACATATTGTGCACAGATGCAGACTCCCACTCACTCCTTCTCTCCTTTGTGTATTCATGCATTTTAAAGATCTTTTTTTAGTCAGCCTCAGCATTGAATCACAGAAAATCTCTCTCTTTCGCTGTTGAAACATATAAAATGTTCAACTGTGTTTCTTTTCTTCATTTCTAACTAGCTCTGTATTTCACAGGTTTCCTTCATCCCCTGTCCCTTGATTCCACGACCTCAGGCATCAGCAACCTTGGTCGACTCTCCAAACAGCGCGGTTGTCGATACCTTAGAGAGAATGTAACCAGGAGATATCCTGAGGGTCAATCAGACCAAGAGAGGAACTGGGACCACACGGCTGATATGGACCGAGGGGTCAACTGATAGCAGATCACGCTGGCCTTGTTTGGAAGTGTAAGTCCTTTAACCTCCCCTCTGACCACAAACTCAGTCAACTTTCCTTTCAGGGAAACTCAATCTCTTAAAGGGAAATGATCCGATATTTACAGTATCTCCTTGAGGCTGAGTGAGTTCAGACTTATTCTTCTGGATTGATTCTATAACTCTGCAGAGGACACAGATAGATGTAAAGGAATTAGAAGATGAGACGAAGATACAACACCATGCCCAGTGACATGTAACACGTGTATTTGACAAGAATTGTTGAAAAATGATTTACGAGAGGTGTATTTTGAAAAGCAGCCTCGTTGAAAAGCCTCAATCTTATCTGAAATGCGACAAACTCCATTTGAAGAAATACCAGGGACTTAGCAGTCTGCACAGCTTCATCTTTTTTACTGCCTCTGTGTACTGAGGATGTCTACCATTATGGCTGTTATCTGTGAACCCAGAATCTAGACATCTATCTGCTGCAGCTCCTCTCCTCTCCTCCCCTCGCTCATCCCCCCTTCCTCCCTCTCTGCCGCCACATTTTTACTGATATGTGTTTGTGCTGTCGTTCCATCCTTTTCCCTGGCACTTGAGAAGTGGAAGTGGTGGCTGTTTCTGGTTTTCTGGTTTCTTTTTTTTTGTGCGCTGCCTTTGTTCCTCCTTTCCCTGGACACACAAAGAAGAGGTTTCTTTATCTTTTTTTGTCTACACCACATGCCATCCGCAATCTGCCAAGCGCAGAACGAGGATCTGTCTTTGAGGCTGTATTGATCTGTGAAGAAACTGAGACATGATTGGATACAGCTATCTATTTGATATATGTTGTTGTATGAGAAACCCCCTATAACCAGAACATTCTTTACCTTTGTTATAAATCCAATTATTAGCCTACAGGACAAAAGCCATCCATTTCAGTCTGTGTTCTCCGTGTCTGTCTCATGTTTGGAAATTAGCAGTCGTGCGCTCTGGCAGTACAGCTTCCATTGTTACAGTCAAGAATCGTAGTTCAGCGAGCTTTATGGAGGAAATTTATGTGAATGTCTTCTACACAGTGTCACTGATGGAGCCTACTGAATAATGTATACCATGTATTTTTCATATGAATGGCGATTTCAATTGCTCTTAGCCTAGAGAAGGGTTAAGCAAGGCCCCAGTTTTGGCCTAAACTATCTTTTATGTCCCTGAACCTGTTGTGGCAAACAACAACAAATCACCCCCGTATACTATTTCACATAATAATGAGTAGTACTACCAGTACAAGAGTAATAAGTCTAAAGGTCTTCCACTATGTACTATCATGGAAATATGAATAGAGACAAGGTTCTATAAAGTATCTATTAACACATATTCAAATCTTAAAATCAACAATCTATATGCTTATTGATTCTGCTGTCAAGTCTTGTGACTCAAATCACAGAATTTGAATCAAGACAGTGGTGCACAAGCACTTAAGAGTTGTTGTATCAAGTATATGAAGTGCCAGCCAACAGGAAGTCACACAAAGAAGAGTTTGGTTGCTTGCAATGATAGTTAGAAGTGTAAAGAGGTCTAAATTTTGTCTACATTTTACCAGAAGATGAAAAAGTCAAATTTAATTTATCTTCAGTTGTTTCTTATATGGCTGGAACACAAACTCCATGGCCAAGCACATCACCAATGTGCTTCAAATGAAACCAAAATGTAGTCCCTTTAACTACCTTTAGGTTGGAAATATGGGCAACTCTGGCTGCTGCAGTGGTACAGTCACCTTCCTCATTTAAAGCAGCTGTGGTCGCAAGTCCTATTAGTAAAAGAAATGTGTTCTGATGATGAAATCTGTGCTGGAAATGACAGGATGAAAGCAAGTCAACTAACTGAACAAGTAGACAAAAAGTTACATTATGATGTGTTCAAGGTGAGGTTGGTAAAATGAGGATTGGACCAAGGTAAACATTTTAAAAGTAACGCTAGCTCTGCTTAAAAAGTGTTGTTGTCTTGTTTTCTTTTAGCTCGTAAAGAAGTATTTATAATGGACTCAGATTTTCTAAGAGTCTTGAGGATGGTATCAATCGAGCTTTTAAATTGAGCTTTGTTTCTTTTGCTTGTAACATCATTGACCATTGTTAGCATGCTAAGTTATAGATTTAATTAAAGACACGATGGATAATAGAACTGCCAAACAAAGGCATATCAACATTATCACGGAGGACATCAGCATGTTTCACTAGTCAATTGCTCATTCTTATGTTCCTGCATTGTGCCTGTATCCTCACATCATTTAGTGTTGAGTTTGGTGTACAACTTCATTTCATTTTCTAACTTTATTAATGGTGATTACATGAAATGGTAGTCATCTTTATCTTTCCTTATGACTATGTCCTTTTGTTTAAGCTGACTGAAGTTCAAACTAAAGGTACTTTAGACCTATTTTGATGAGCAACAAAACTTAATGCAATAACACAGCTGCTTGATTTGGCTCAGGGATGTATTCATAACCCTTCGCAAGGGCAGAAGTAAGAGTTAATGGATAGATTGTGAATGTAAAAGCAGTTTAAAATAGTTTTTCGGCGCAGAAATTGAACTGATATCGGCTTAATATTTATATGAAATGACACATCGATGTTGAACAAATCAGTATGCTATAAAAGTGACTCGTGTAACTTTAAATATAACTTGTATAGTGATCAGAAACTGGTTTCCATTGACTGCTGAAAAGGTGTACTCATATAATCATTTTGTTATATATCCTTGTGAGTATGCCTGATTGAAACATATTGAGAAGGATTGCTGAGCAAATTAATCAAGTATATGTTCCTGAAGTCATCACAGAGAGCCTACAGATGAGAGCTGCAGATTTATTGTGTTAAATCAAATCACTCTTGATAATAAAAATACTGTGGAGCTGTTGTAGATCGCCTCTAGTGAATATTGATAGGGGAGTGTTGGAGGGGATTTCAACCATATGGATTTGTCTACTAAAGCATGCATATTTTTATATACTGCTCTCTTAAGCACACATATATGTAATCAATATTTTATATGAGATCTTTAGATGAGTTTAAGCTGAGGTGATAGTGTTGTGCTTTATATAACTCTAGCCTGCACCAGTTTTTGCTTTGAACACATTTTTCAGCACAGTTCTTGTTTAATTCAGCTTCTTTTTGGGTTATGTCTTCAGGTCACATCTGTGGTTTTCAATCTCTCTGGAATTTTTTTATTCAGCCAGAGTAGGAATTTCTCTTACCTGGGTTACTCAAGGTTTTCTGTGCCTTTTTAGGAAGGAATAAAAAATCTCCTATCCCAGCTCAGGTTGGTTTAAATTAATGATAAAGGTGAGTGAACAACCAGAAGGTTTGGCACAAGAGAGACATTTCTATGGTCGGTGTTTCCATTTCTTTTAGTCTCGTTCCCAGGCTCTCATGTGAGAGCCAAGGTGAGGGTAGATGTTGAAGCGAAGCAGAACAGATTCATTTTATGGTGCTGTGAATCCTGGGATTTAGAAGACTTGCAGCATATATTACCCTTCTTTTTCTACTTACCCCTTTTTTTCTGTATTCGTGCATTAAGGGCACGCTCATTCCATGCAGATTTCTATCCCTACTCACAAAAACGAAAAGCAGAGTTGATCAGGGTTTCATTCTACTTGTTTGTGCACAAATACAAACAATAACCTCGAGGGTCAAACCGCATGCCTCTGAACTTATCTCTGCATCATGCACGGATGGGATGGTTTGCTTCTGCACTCTTGGCTCAAGTGATGCAGCATAATTAAATTCACCAGCACCATTTATGACAAGCAGGTGCAGGAGGTTGGAGTCATCCCGTTGATGCCAGTTTTACATTGAACAGCCAGAAAATAAAAGAACTGGAATGAATGATGTTACTTCTGGTCTGATAAACCAAAGAGGTTTCTCCAAGAGTTTTTGATACTAAATCCACTTTGATACAAAGGTCAGATTACACAATATGCTAATTAAGCAAGTATACATACCCTAGCATGCAGTACCACTACTGCACAATGAATTCTGTTTTAAGAACCCTAATATTTTATTAACTCTATTAAGACAGTAATGACTCTGCTTTGCGTGATTTTTTTCTGTTCTTATGAGTGGTGAGGTCAAATAAAAAGTAAATAATATTGAAAATAAAGCAAAGTTTTGTCATGACTTACTGACACATGATAGCATAGTATTGAATTGGGTTTCTGCTGTTTAGTCCCACTCTATGTTAACAGCCTTGACATAAAACATGAGAATACCACAATATGAAATACGATGCATTTTATTCCAACATCTTCTGGACACTTAGTTAAACTGAGTTTTTTACATTCAGTCTTTTTAGGGTTTCATGAAGAAAAAATGTGATATTGTGTACTTAGAGATAAAATCTGACCCATTTTGTCACGGGGTAAATATGAGACAACAGTTCAGTTCATGCTCTGTCACCATGACTTTGCAGAAGTTATTAAAAAAATCAAACCAGAAAATCAAATCATGTGAGCCAACTGGGAAAAGATGGAAGATATAAAGATTATGATTATGAGACAGAGGTTTTGATGCCATATCTAGAAGTAGTAACAAGACTCATCTTCATTCTTGCTAAATGTTTGCCTCAGGATAAAAAGGGAAAAAAATCATGTGTCCTCTTTGGCTTTAATACTGTCTGATCTGTCTGAAAAAATCATCTCTGGCTTCTGTAAAAATTGACACCACTGAGGTACTCAGATAAACGTGAAGTCCCTCTGTTGGTCAAAGAGCCACACTGCAACACACACCTCATCAAACCATAGAGCTGAATTCCTCCCTTTATTCTAAAACCATTTTCTCTTTTCTCTCCTCAGCTGTGCAGGAAACATAAACTTGATCTGAGTTATAACTTTATATTTGATAGAAGCACTTAAAGTGACAGAGTATTTCACATTTTTTCTGTTCTCACATCTGCTCTCTCATTTCTTGGCTGTATACTGTGTATGCACTCTAGCTGCCAGGAGGTGACAGATATGCAGTGGCCTGTGCTGTGACCTGTGCACCCAGCATGCCTTGCAGCATAGAACTGTAGGATGACTCTGTTTGAGTGAATGTGACTTGCGCAGTGGGGTGGAGAGGGGAACAGGTGCCGACACTGTCAGCTTGTTAACACTGGAAAGAGAATTGGCTCCTCCAACAGAGTGTGGCACATATGCAACACATAGCCTTTGGCAGTGGGACGTATGTGCAGACATTCATACAGGTAAAGTGAGAAAAGACAGTGTGCGGACATGTGTGTGTGTAATTCTGGGTTATTATTAAATGCTTTTTTAATGAAAAATAGCCTCATCAAGTCATCCTCTGAACATTTAATAATGTCAGCACCCTGGGTGTAGTATTTCTGCAGGGAGAGGCTGTTCGATGTGCAAAACACAGAACCCTCAATTTGTTGTTCTTTATAAGTTTGGACATAAATTTTGTTTTGAGAACATTGTTACCGCATTATTTTTTTATGCTCCATTTTCTGCAAAAGCTTGAGGGGATGTGAAACCCCCCCAGTGTTATGTGCAAAGAGTTCTCTCAAAGATCACAAATTAGGCCCCTAGATGACCCATTTCCAGAAGAACTAAATTGACACAATGAATTATTCCTCCCTGTCTTGTGGTCTCTGTAACAAGACAGGGACTGGGAACAGAGGATAAATTAAGACACTCATTTCTTGCTTCTTTCTTTTATTCCATCAAAACCATTTAGGCAGATTTTTCCCGTTTGCCCAATTTCTTCTGTGATTTCTTACCCCTTTATTTTGAGGACTTGGGGAAAAGAGGACAGGGATGTGATTTTGAAGAAACTGGCTGCTACATTTTAGAGATAATAAGACTCGAGAATAATGTGTCAAATGTGTCTATTTAACTCTGCTTTATTTAAGGGAGATGACATATCCTTTCTCCTGTTCGGATAGACACTTGAGGAGCTCTGCCCCAAATAAATCACTAATAGCTGCCAGCAATAAAGTAAGAAGGAACAGTGAGAATGTGGTTTGAACTAAAATGATGGTTCACTGCAGGGGGAGGGAAAAAGAGAGAGAGAGACAGAGTGATGGAGGGAAAAAAGGGGAGATGCTGCAGTAAAAGGAAAACAACACCATCTGGCCTTGTTCAGAAAGCCAACAGTATAACCTAAATACATATGCTTGTTTTCACACAACACTCTAAGCCTGTTAATCAATTTTACTATACCCCCCAAATAAACACACACCCACACATTTATGGCTATACACTGTATTCACACAGCAGCCATCTTTTTGCTTAGATCTTACTCAGGGTGGGAGGCTTGAATGCTGTTATAATGTCATAATGCTAAAGTCGAAGTAATGGGTCATAAAATGTTGTAAATCAGACAAAGTATTAATATTTCCTTGTTTCCAGATTAAGGTGAAGAAGACAGACAGCAATATAGAGACAAAATTAGTTTTTTATCAACCCTCCTTCTGTGTTAGGGTCTGCACCGACCTGTTTTTCTTTTTAAATGCCTAAAAAAAACACATAAATGAACTTTTTTGCATCAGGACTTTTAGACTTTGTCAGGAACCTCTATTTCAACAAAATAAAAATACAAAATTAAATTGACTAAATTATAAAATGCCCTTATTAAAATTATGGCACTTTTCGTGTTAGGGTTGCTGTTGACCTGGTTAGATTAATATCTAATAATCAGAGCAAAAACTGAAATCATATGTGCACTGTCACGCTCCACACTGACAGAAAGATCCTCTTCCAATCATGTCAGATTTAGGAAATTCTCATTTTGCCGTGTTTTTCCCTGCACAAAAAACGTCGGTCATGACCAGACATGTGAGACCAATTCAGTATAGATGTCTGTATGAGGGGTAAACTGACAAAGAAAAAAATATTACAAACAATATTTTCATGGATAATGAAGCCTAACAAGGTAACCAAGAGATGAGAACCAAATTAGATGATAGAGAACTGTTTTTAAGTATAATTTACAGCTGATTTAAGACATGGGTCAAAACCGACCCTTAACATAGTGGGTGCGTAGTAAAAGCTAATACAGGAGAAAGGTTTATCCATTTTATCAGTGTGTGATACAGATTATGAGCCAAATGCTGAACATGTGTACCAATACACGTCCAAGGCCAATAATCTGTTGTTTTCAACATTTAAGCACAACATTTTAATGGCATTTAATGATCATTCTGACCTGAGCTTAACATCTAAATACAACTATCCACCGTGTGAATACGGTTGATTGGAATATGTTAGAAACCGGGCAGACAGTTCGAGCTTCCAGGCCGGACAGACCTGCACATCAAAGACTATACAGCAAAATGAGATGGCTTCTAACAAAAACAGCGTTGAGCTTAACTCCACTGCCAAATGTCCACAGGGGATGTGGTTACTGTCACCTGTGGCTTAAAGCCTCCTCTGTCGTTTGATGTCTGAATATCAGGTTATTTGATATGCTGCTGCTCTTTTAAGTCAGCCTGACAGGACAAGAGTGCAAGCAGATTTCCCAGAAGGACTGTAACTGCTCAGCAGAGAGACAGACATGGCTCTCAAGTCTCATCAAAGCTGAGCTCTCCTCTCTGCCATCTGTATGCCTCACCAGGCTGCGCTTGTGTTTCATGTTGCTTTAGCTCCCTCTAGTGAACATGTGAGCAATCACAGGGTGAAATCTGTTTTTTTTTTTTTTTTTCCTTGACTGCTTTTATTCTTTCATCCGCAGTGACAATGGTGTTATTTCTGGTTGGGATCTCCATCGCTGTGAATAATTCATCCCATGAGAACCAAACTGCAGGTAGGTGTTGCAGTGAGAGGGGAGTACTCACAGTGCACACATGGCAAAGATAAGGTAGTGAAGTATAGCTGTATAACCTTTGAAATTCCACACTTAAATTCACATAGTGTACAATTTAGTGATGGGGTTTGTTATTCATATTTGTAACATATTTCTTCCATTGTCCTTACTTTAGATGACGTGAAAAACGAACAAACTTTAGACTAATAAATCCGTTAAAATATGTCTTTATCCACAATCATTCAATGAAAGCTACACTGCGTTGCCTTTACTAGTTTAAAATTTTGGAAAACTTGAATATTTACTTTCAGCCTGGAGTTATATTTTTTATATGTTTAGCACTGCAACAGATTCAGGTGTTTGGGGGAAGGTTAGCAGCATTAGCAGGAGTTTTAGGTAAGCAGTAAAGCAAGGAAAATAGTTTGTTTTTTTTACTCTGTTACCTAATTATAGCTCTCTATATATTCAGTTTATTATATAATGACAGCTGTCTAAGGCAATATACACAAATGACAAGCTGGGAGAATAACACACACCTACTTGTTACCAAGGACAACTCTTACACAATGTGTGAAGACTCCTTCTCATTTAGTCACACTCTTAGCTTCAGCTCAGAGCCCAACAAAGGAAGGCACCATCTTGTGGCTTTATACAAGAATGCAGTAATGATGCATGGATGGTAATAGATATGCAGTATATCAGAGTGCGATAGCAAAAGAGTTGAAAACAGCGAGCCTGAACCACTCCAAAGGTAAAATAAAAGCTTCGCTAACACTTTATGTGACGCCTATCTCTATAACACATTATAAATACATGTATAATGTGTTATAATCACGTTAAAGCACTGTATAACTATATTTATAAACACTCATAAATGATCATAATGCTTTATAACAATAATCACAACACATTATAAAGCATTTTGTCATGAATTACAGTGTCAGTGTCAGTTTTTATTGTTATAAATCCTTATGATAATGAATGAGTGTTTATAATGATAGTTATACAAGTTTATAAGCAAATTATAACATATGATAAATATATGTTTAATGCATTATCTATGTAGGCATTGTCAGTGAGTTATAACACATTATAATACCTGACCTTTTCAGTCATGATGAAATGTTTTATCATGGGTTATGATTATTGCTATAAAGCATTATGATCATTTATGAGTGTTTATAACTATAGTTATACAGTGCTATAATGTGATTATAACGCATTAGACATATCTTTATAATGCGTTATAGAGATAGTCGTCAAATAAAGTGTTAAAGCTTCAAACCAGCTTCAATTTTGAAGAATATTTAGTTAAGATGTAAAATAAATGCTTTGACTTTTCAACTGTGGAGATAGTGTGGATCGCCTGCCAAAATCTTGACGCCAAGCTGATCTAACCAGCTTTTTGAGTTAAGCTGTGTATTAAATGAAATAGAAATAATTTGATTGATGTGTTTTCGCTCCAGAAAACCCCACCCATCAGGGTGCTCATGTCCTGCCCTCAACACTGGTCATATCCCTGCTGCTTATCATCGTGGTCCTGCTGACGATCTACTGTCTGAGGTGAATTAACCTGCACACTCATTCACTGCTTACTGAATCAGGCTGTCCGAGAGTGAGTCTGTCCTTACTCTCCTCTCACTCTCTCCCTCTGTCTTTCTTCCTTTTAGCACATGTGTGAGCACAGGAGTGAATGTGTGTCAGGTCAGGGCATGGTTGGTGGGGATGGTTTAGAAACAGGCAGTGGGCTGAGGCTTATGGGTAAACAGCTGCACCTCAACTGAGGCTGCAAACAAAAACAGCCAGGTCAGGTCAGGCCACAGATACTCATTCTCTGACCGGCAGCTTTTTCTGGACAACGACATGAGGAAGAACAGCTTTGCCTCTCTCAGATGGTTGATATTGGTTTTGGTATTTGTTGTTTGCCTATCTTATGTGTTTGACAGCTTTATTCTAGAGATCGGGGTCAACTCATTTTCCCTTTTTCAGCGCAGATATCTGCCCTTTTTCCCTTTCTGACGATTTTCCCCCTCTCTTCTTGTCTTCCTGTCTTAACCATAGGTTTAAAAACCACAGGAAAGCTCTGGTTACCTCTGTGGATAAAAAGATTCCAAATGGCTTCTTGGAGGAACAAGGTACTGTTGTGCTCCACTCAATATAACCACCAGTGCATGAAAATATAAAGCAGCCTTTCAATTTTATGTCTTTTTTTTATTTTAATTGTAGATTTACAGTCTTAAAAGACTTGGAAAATTTCATGATGTGAAGTCCAAGGTAGCTGGAAAAGATTTTGGAAGGCCCTTAGCTTTTCAAGCACGTAGGGAGCCATATAAACTTTCACTTCGAGTAAAAAATAAATAAATAAACGGAAAAGGCCAAATTCTGAGTTAAGACAGTTTCATGCAGCAGCAGGAACACAATGTTTACGACTCAAGAAATCATTTTTGTCATGCGCCCACAGAAGTAGGAAATCTTAATGGCCATGAGGCTTGTTTTTGCAGGTGCAATGAGAGCTTGTAATGTTCTCTATGGGGAAACGTTAGCAGTCTGACCGCAATATATTCCTTCAAACACAGGAGAGCAGACAGTAGTCCTCCTCCCTAGATCTCCCTCGCCGTCCAAGAGGTACTTCCCCATCCCCCTGGACTCGCTGGAGGAGGAGTACCGGATACGCTCTGCAGACGATGGCAAGCTCTTCAGAGAGGAGTTCAATGTAAGCATAAGAATGTGGGGTGCTGATTCTCTTGTATATTCCGTATCTGACAAGGATCTTTGTCCTGCAAGCAAGAGAACAAGCACAAAAAATAGCAATAAAATGTTATGTTTGTAGGCTGTGTACCTGGAGCTTTATTTTTATCTCATGAGGATTGGGTTCTTTCTTTATAGTCGCTGCCGTGTTACTACCACCATGGGTCCTTTGAGGAGGCGAGCAGAGAGCACAACAGAGAGAAAAACAGATACCCAAACATTTTACCATGTGAGTGAGAATCTGTAGTCTGCAACTGGCAATTTTAATTCCACTTCTCACATGGTTAGCCTGCTGTTTTATTGATTCATTAAATTTTAAGGTGAGGTGAACTGACTGAAATAAAAAATTAGATCCTTGTTAATTTACACGCCGTGTCGTTTTTATGTCTTTTCCCGCAGATGATCATACAAGAGTGGTGTTGAGTCATCTTGATGGACATCTGTGTTCAGACTACATAAATGCATCATACATAGATGTGAGTCTTATTTATATTCATGCATTTAGCGCTGGTGTTCAAAATCAAAGTGTCATGAGTGCTTTGTGTTTTTTTGCGCAGGGTTATAAAGAAAAACACAAATTTATTGCGGCTCAAGGTAAATGGAATTTCCTCTCCTCTGTGAAGTATTTAAAGTAGTTTCACATGTTGCTGAGTTTATGACTATTTATGCTATTTTTTTAAACTTTTAACTCTATTTTCATCTTCAGGCCCAAAACTTGAGACACTTGCTGACTTCTGGCGGATGGTTTGGGAACAGAAAACAGCGACTATAGTGATGCTGACGAATCTAAAAGAAAGGAAGGAGGTTCGTCTCAGATCAGATCACGCTCCGTCTGCATTTGCATTCCTCTAATTAGCAACAGGGTGAACTTTTACACAATCCATGCAGCTCCAATGCTCCATTAGTAAAATCCTTTTGTATTCTCGTGACCCAAAGTCATAGGCATAATTTATTTGACCCCCTTACCCAACTGAGAATCTATACAAAGTGTCACCCAGCAGATTGGTTAGCGTTGCATTAAATTTAGCCTCAAAGGGATGATCAATTGAGAGCTCAACAGCAGGTTTGATAGGGCAGAATAGAGGCATTGGGGATCAATGACAGAATAATTGTTGATAAGATCCTGAGAGGCTTCTTGATAATTAGTCTGAGAATCTCATTAATGAGTCGAAACGTCACACTGAGGATCTTATTGACTGGCGGAGTCGCACAAAGTCTCTGTGATTGCCTTTGAATTAGATTGTGAAATACGCACATCAAATACAAGTTTGGATACGTACTCATACAATACACACAATAGATACAAGTCTACGCGTATTTTCTGTTTAATAGACACAATTCTGGCTTTTGTTTCCTGACAAGTAACCACTCTATTGTTGTGTTTGTCTTCTCAGGATAAGTGTTTCCAGTACTGGCCAGAAAAAGGCTGCTGGATGTACGGAAATATACGGGTGGTGATGGAGGACTTCACCGTCCTGGTTGATTACACCATTAGAAAATTTTGTGTTCAATATGTAAGTAAAAAATCCCAAACTGGAAATGATCTAAAACAGATGCATTTTAGTGTTTTTAAACACGCACCTCTCTCTTATTTGGCTCAGCATGAAGCTTTATTTGTACATACACATGGACTGAATTTACAATTAAATTAAATTAAATGGAAACATTTAAACTAAGCATCGGATGAATTTTGCATTAATTTAGACATATACATGTGCAATAATGGCATTTCATTTCAATAATGTTCTTAATGTAGTTCTTTATTGCTAAATAAAATTATAATCATAATAGCTAAATTCTTATTAAAAATTAATAAGTAAGAAAGCTGCATTCAGATAATGTAAAAACGGAATGTTTCCCATGAGGAAAGTGGAACGTATTAGTAAACTGTGAGCAGATAGAAAATATCATCAATTAAAAAAACAACAACAATATGAAAACACATTAAAGGATATTAAAGGATGTATGTAATAAACACAGCAGGATAGTATGTAGGTGTATTTAATATACAGTGTTTGAATGTTTCTCGTCTTTAAAGCTTATCTTTAGAGCTTCTTACACACTGAGTTTCTGTGTTTCTTTCTCTGTGTCTTTGACTGTTGAGGCGGGTTCCTTCACAGTGCACTGCCGAGCCTTCAGATTACAAAAAATTCACTTTGTTCCCTCTTCATTTGAAGCAAGAGCAGTGCAGATATCCTCTCTGACTCTGAAATGCTGCGACTGAGCCACAGCAGTGCAGCACAAGCCGACAGACCGGGTGCTTTAACATTCAGCTCTCTGAACACAGACGAACCGAGTGTTCAACAGAGTGAAAGTATGATCTCCTGAGAGCAGAGCATTCATGAGACATGAGAGCGTGGCAGAGGGAAACCAGTACACATGTTTAATAACGATATTCTGTCACAGATAGCAAACTGGAAAAGAAACACAAATTGTTCTGTTAATTTGAGGTTATTCTCCTGTAGGTAACAGTTTTGCCTTTACCACACAAACGTAGACAAACTTCAGTCAACTCCATGAATAAACTCTTTGTGGTTGTGTTTTACAGCAGGGCAGTGATGGTCCCCGAGCTCCCAGGCTGGTCACCCAGCTCCACTTCACCAGCTGGCCAGACTTCGGGGTGCCGTTCTCACCCATCGGCATGCTGAAATTCCTCAAGAAGGTCAAGGCTGTCAATCCATCCTACGCTGGACCTATTGTGGTGCACTGCAGGTAGAAATATGCCGCATGACAGGAGCCAAGTGAGGGCATCTAAGAAAAGATGTTAAAATCTAGTGAGGGGTTATTGAAATTGATTAAAATACTACTCAACAATAAAAAAATAAAATGTGTGGAAAATGCGCTTTTCTCTAAACTTATCCACAAAAATACATCCTGGTTTTCTTTTGTTTAGCATTTAATTGAATGTTAAATGTTGTAAGAGACAAAAACAACAAAATATGAAAAAAAAATCTGTGCAAGGGTGCGGACTAGGCCTCAAACTGTCTTGAAATAAAGTGACAAACTCTCATTTTCATCCTGGGAAATTCACCAGAAAGTAGATTTTTTTGTCGTCCCCTTAAATCCCATACAAAAGTTAAATTTTTGCAAAACCAAGTGATCTTAAACAATATTTACATATTCTATAAGCGTTGAAGATTAAGTTTGCTCTTCTTATACATAATCACACACCTTAACATGATGAGGAATATATATTTTTTCAGACATGACCAAAACTCTTCACAGTGGTTGTTGCCCGCCTGCTCACTCACTTTTATCCTCATTTGATTTGACTTGCTTAAAAGGTCAAAAGTGAATCGCTTTTGCAGATTCCTCAAAAATGATGTTAAATACACTAAAACGAGAGCCTTTTAAGAGGGTAAAATGTGGTATGTGTGTATGTTATTCTGGCCCGCTGGTATTTATCCTGACTAAAGTAATCTGTAGCCGATTGTAGCAACTGCAGCAACAGGTGCTCAGGGAGAGGGACTGTTGTTCTTGAAAGGGGCCCATTGAAGAGGCTTCAACACCCCGCTGTGGAATCCTTGCTCTGCGCTCCCTGAGGTGCCGTCCGTTGAAATGACCCCTGTAAATCTATTAGGAATGGGTCTGAGCGCTTTTACACATGCTTTGGGCTGTCCACAAGTGATGTCTATGTTAAGAACACAGGGGCGGTATAGAAATACACGACAAAAAAATGATACCTGGTATTCTGGACTTGAGTTTTAAAAAAAAAACGAAGGTGCTTTTCTGTTACTTTTTAAAGTTTTTATGTCCAGAGTTTTTATTCACTTTCGTAGCTGAACGTGACTTTTAGTTCCAGAGAAAGACCTCGTGTCATGTTGTTTGTGTTACCACAGTGCCGGGGTTGGGAGGACCGGCACGTTCATTGTCATTGACAGCATGATCGACATGATGCACATGGAACAGAGGGTGGATGTCTTCGGCTTTGTGAGCAGAATACGAGAGCAGCGCTGTCAACTCATCCAGACAGATGTAAGTGTTGACCCTCTCCGACCTGTTGTTCTTTGGACTGACAGCTCCACTCGCTGCTCTGGTCGCGGCATAAACAAGCGAGGACATGGAAAAACAAGCATGTCTGTGATGCAAAAATACAAGGAAATAGTTTGGCAAACTCCTTCTACCTTTTTCTCCTACTTGACTTCATGTGTCTCTCTCCTTCCTCAGATGCAGTACTCCTTCATCTACCAGGCTCTGCTGGAGTACTATCTGTATGGAGACACAGAGCTAGATGTGTGCTCTCTGGAGGGCCATCTGCAGAGGCTTCACAACACCAGGGCTCCCCACGACAGGCTGGGCCTGGAGGAGGAGTTCAGGGTAGGAAGAAAGAGGCACACTCTTGAACATTTTCAGTCTGTAATGAATCGTCCCCATCACCCCGCACCCTGCACGGGTGTATTTTCATGGAGAACTTGCCCAGGGTGCCACTCCTGGCGATAACAACATAAATAACAATGCTTTGTATCCACTAAAATGTTATAAGGCACCACCATCTGCTGCACAGGATTTTGGTAGCTGGCTGAAAATTTGCTGCAAGAAAGTACCTCACAGTTCATACACACAGAATCAAATAACTCCCCTCTCTTCTTCTCCTTCTTCTTCTTCTTATCATCTTTTCCTAATAAGAACTGTTTTTTGTTCTTTTACTTGTTGAATCTTTTAGGGTATTATCCGTCCTCCAGTTTTTTTAGCTTCAAAAACACACTCAACTTCAGAAGCCCTGTACTGATCAAAACTAAGTTTCTGATCAATCAGTTCACTTGTGTTTTCCCCCTTCCATCAGAAGCTGACCAACGTGCGCATAATGAAGGAGAACATGAGAACTGGGAACCTTCCTGCCAACATGAAGAAGAACCGTGTGCTTCAGATCATTCCATGTAAGGACCGCGCTTATACTCTGATCACTTTCATAATACATCACTTCCGAGAAACATCAAAGTAACGCACGAGTGGTGGTTTTAAAGATGCCGTACACAGATATCTGTCTAATGGGGGCGTTGTGTGATCAGTGACATTTAAATCAGGCCTGTTTTTGGCTTCAAGTTTGGACCAGAGTGGGAAAGAAAAAAAAAAAACAAGGGTTGAACTTTTTATGGTGTAAACCGATATTGGCTCTGGCGTGTTTGGCCTTAATAACACAGCTAAAGTTTTACTTAGCTGTTTTTCTTTCCATCAGCCTCTTCAAACTTTTATTTTATTAGGAATCACTTGTGGAAAGTTTCATTTCCCTTTTTTCTTTTGCAGATGATTTCAACCGAGTAATACTCTCAGTGAAAAGAGGACAGGAGTTCACCGACTACATCAATGCCTCCTTTATTGATGTAAGCACTCCCTCCTGACCCCCTGTATAGATTTCCCATAAAAGTATATATAAAGCTCATTGTTTCCGTTACAAACAATGCAAAATATTATGTTTGCCGCACTCTCAAGTGTTGTTTACCGGATGATCTGCCCTCCAGGGCTACAGGCAGAAGGACTATTTTATCGCAACCCAGGGCCCCCTGTCTCACACAGTGGAGGACTTCTGGAGGATGGTGTGGGAGTGGAGGTGTCATTCAATCGTTATGCTCACCGAGCTCAAAGAGAGGGAGCAGGTACAGTATGCTGCTCCTGCAAGAGTACAGGCTGAAAAGTAGAGTTGCACAAAAAAAAAAGAGGAAAAAAAAATCTTTTTCATGCGGTTATTTCATTGTCTTATTTTTTTCTGACAGCCTGTGTATGTATTTAACGGTTTTGTATTGTTTTTATGGTTCACAGTGAAAATGTAAGGGCAAAACTCGGACATAAATCAGTCAAATGTAGCCTAATTGCATTTCCATCTGACCTCTCTCCAACCAGGAGAAGTGTTACCAGTACTGGCCATCAGAGGGCAGTGTTACATTTGGGGATTATGGTGTGGAGCTGACTGGAGATACACAGTGTGAAACCTTCACGCTCAAAGACATGGTGCTCACCTACAGACCGGTGCGTTAATCTTTCATATTTCAAAAAAAATAAATTAAAACTTTTTAAATCACGACATTTTTTTTCTGCTAATTTTTCAGAATAAAAAGGAAAAAAAAAAAGAATTTAATCTGAACTTTTAATGTATGAGAATAACAGAGAAAGCCCTTCATCTCACCAGGAAAAGCAGTCACAACACGTCCGACACTTCCACTTCCACGGATGGCCTGAGATCGGGATACCAGCCGAAGGGAGAGGGATGATTGACATTATCGCCGCTGTGCAGAGGCAGCAGCAGCAATCTGGAAACCGTCCAATAATTGTTCACTGCAGGTGGGGACCTTCATTTTGACAAATCTGAAGCACTATTTGAGTTTTCAAATAAAAATTATAGACAGCGTGTCAGATATATCTTTGTCCACTGCTGCTTTTAATACAACCTCTCCCGTTTTCACTCTAATTTTATTACCTGGCCGTTCAAATCTCTCTGACTGATATTGGGGGGAATTTCAATTTTTCTTACGTCTGTTACAATAAATTTAACATTTTGCCTCAGTAGACCTGGTGTTCTCTGCCTAAACCACTTATGTGATCCCTTATAAAGACTTAGCAGTGAAAGCTTTGATCAGAACCTAGCTTCAGGTGAAGTGATTCTAAAGCAGCATGCCCCTGTGGGATTGATCCAATCCACTGATTCACAGTCAATTAAAACCTCTCAAAGTGAAATCTCCTCTGACTCCCACTATGATTAATCTGATAAGATGAGCTAACGACAGGAAATGGTGTCATCACTCTCTTCTATTCCTTCATCACCACTTGTCTAAGAAGGGCTTTTTAAAGCTTTTTCTCTGCCCATGGGAAATGGGGCTAACCCGATGCAATCCCAAATGTCTCTCTACACTTCTCTTCCGAATCGCACATCACTCTCACACTCTCCCCGCTCTCTCTCTCTCTCTCTCCATCCCACCATCATTGTAAACATTGACTCAGTCAAACACTGAGCTTCCAAACTGATTAGTGTTAGCGTTTGGATTAGCCTCTCTTTAAGTGGGGATGATTATTAGCACTATTACACAAAGGTCACCTTTTCTCTCGCAAACTTCTTTCACTCAGATGGAATAAGGAAATGCAGCTGAAATAAGAGTTTCACTGCAGTGTTTTTCAGAGGAGGAAGTGAAAATGTTAAATCTCTCCTTCCACATCTGAGCTAGGATTTCAGATGTTTCTGCAGCTCTTCAACAGATCTCACATTTTTCATGCAGTGCGTGTGTTATGTGATGTGGTTGCTGATGGTTTTCTTGTTTTTTGTTTCAGTGCTGGTGCAGGTCGGACTGGCACCTTCATCGCCCTCAGTAATATTCTGGAGAGGGTGAAAGCTGAAGGCCTCCTGGACGTTTTTCAGACAGTCAAGAGTTTACGCATGCAGAGACCACACATGGTTCAGACTGTGGTAGGTGGAAAAGGAGATGATATCAAAGCTGCTGTGCACAAACTGTTCCCATTTGTGCTTTTCTGAAACCATTTCTGCACATTTTCACTCACTAACACTTTTTCCTTTTTTATTTTTTTGCTTTTTCCTTCCAGGAGCAATACGACTTCTGCTACAGAGTGGTACAGGATTTCGTCGACATCTTCTCAGACTACGCCAATTTTAAATAATAGAGGCTGTTGTGTTTACGTATGTCGAATCAACTTATGCATTTTTGTCTGAATGTTATTTTTTAAAGCAAGCCCTTTTTACATTTTGCACTTGATAACAGATTTAAAATATTGTAACATATTGTAATATAACAGAGACCATCTGAGCTTCAGGAGAGTCCGTCTCTATCAGGAAGGTTTGATCTTTAAGTTTGTAAAATATACCCACCATGACGGCTGAGTTAAAATAAAGTTTCATGTTGCACATTTACAACATTATGAGGGTCAACAAAGTGTTTAAAAGGGAATTTAAAACTGTAATCCAACTAAATCTATAAAACGGATGTGTATATATTGTAGTACATATTGCTTACTACCTGACATTCATCACTGATGTGTCGTAGAGTGAGTGCATCTCTTTTGTTTTTGCTTGGATTTGTTACAGACCACACTGCCTTTGGTCTCGGTCTTGTATTTTATGCTGCCCACTTAACATGTTTGATTGCTATGAGGAGAATAATTGTGTGTTTTATAACTAGGGTAATATGATTAATGCTTAATGTGCTGTCTGACATGTGTGAATAATATTTATGATCTACTTTTGGCTCCGACAAAAACACAAAACTCCAGATTCATTTCATTCTGCAATATACTGCAAATGACTTCACTTCTGTCTGTGAATAACTTAACAGCTGCTGCCTGTTGCAATTTCATTCAACTTCAACAACTTTCTTCTGTTGCCTGTGGCAATATTACTGAGTAGATTGGCGCCTGACGCTGCAAAATGCAATTAGCCCACATTGGAACAGGCAGAAAATAATGTCGAAGTACATGAATCCAAATGTCTCATTCTTACGAACGTTTCACAGCCAAGCTTCACCCTACTTGAAAGAAATCACATTTTTATTCACATTAACTTAACACTTGCATGTTTGCATAAATCAGTGCCATAATGATTGGAAGGACACTTCTAATCATGACAGACTTGTCACCAAGTGACACAATTTTAATACAGATATACCAGATATTTATGTTTAACCTATAATATAATATACACATTTTTAAAAGTGTATCCTTTGCCCTGTATGGAGCATCTTTGTACAAACACTTCTCAGAATAATATAAGGATAAGAAATGTACAATAATACTAGTTAAAACAAGTGCGTAAGATGCAGTGGAGAAAATCAAAAATACATAAATCATTGTTTCGATGAAAGTGTCGCAGTCGAACCTTGTTCATCCTGAGGAGCTAAGATTGTCTGGAGCTGTGATTTAATATCAAGAGCCAGTATTCAGCCAAAATATGAAATATGCATGTAATGGCATTTTCACATATTTTGACTATAGTCTTAGTTTCATATTTAAACAAGGGGAACCCAACATTGCTGCAAAATCAAAAGCATATATTTTTGCAAGGCTTCTGCATACTTCTTTTTAGAAGAGTAAGTTTGGGAGAAAAACTTTCTACTCTGTTTGTACTTCCACTGTTACAAAGTCATCGGGTTGGTTTCTACATGACACGCTGCTTGTTTTGTTGAACATTGTACATACATTCCTGTGCTCACTCAGTTAAGTGCATTGTTGACTTCATTTTAATGTGTTTTCATGCTGAAAGAATAAGACATAAGGGTGGTGACAGTGCGGCCTTGCAGCTGATGTAACATACACGCACAAGCATCTTGTTTCAATGATGTTTCTGCCTTTTCGATCTGTACCAATCTGAACTGCTGTTTGTTTGCTAAAAGCTGATTTCAATAAATTATGAATAGAAAGAAATGACAGGTTTCATCATAATGTCGCCTTTTTGTCCGTCTCAACCAACACGCACCCTATATAAACACAAAGGCATTTTGGATATTTATATTTCATGCAGTTTGAACCCTCGCAGTGATGTCAGCATATGTGAGCACTTAGCTGGCTCCATTAGTCGTATTTTGTGTCCCATTAGTCAGTTAATGTGTCACACCTGCAGAGAGGGGATTATAATCCTGACAGCAGCCCTCTACAACACCTATAAAATCTCCCTCTGGCTAATGCACCACATGCTAACAAGGCAAATACAGAGGTGAGTCAGTCAGCAATGAAGTTTGCTCAATGTTCATTAAGTTAGAATTACTCCTCTTATTCATTACTGTCGAAAACGCTGTTTGCTTAAGTTGGCCGTTGCTTTATAACCCCTGCGTTGTAAGAGAGAGGAGACTGTGACTTTTTTATTGTTTGTGTTTCTAATTTGGCTTCTTCCTCTTCAGCACTAATGGAAGCAAGCAGCAGAGTGATGGTGCAGGTGCTGTTGTTGGCGTTGGTGGTGCAGGTCACCCTGTCCCAGCACTGGTCCTATGGGTGGCTACCAGGTGGGAAGAGGAGTGTGGGAGAGCTGGAGGCGACCATCAGGGTGAGTGATTTAATTTGACGCTGGAAAGTTTCAGGAATAAAGGTGTCTTTGTAAATTTTAAAGATAGTTGAACAGAAATGATCTTTTTTTTAGGATACTTAAGCCTGTCTTTTTATTTTTTTTATTTTTACAGCCCCTTGAAGGTTTTACTTGGTAGATTTTGTCCTAACATTGGTTTTAAGTCCTAAAATTTGAGTTTCATTGTGTTTAGATGATGGGCACTGGAGGAGTGGTGTCTCTTCCCGAAGAGGCGAGTGCCCAAACCCAAGAGAGACTTAGACCATACAATGTTGTAAGTGCTTATTATACATAATTTATCACCAATGTCTACTTCAATTGTACAATATTAATGTACACTACACCACTGTGTGCCACCGTGCTCCACAGCAGCAATGACAATATACAATCTGCTCAGTGACTGCTTTTATTTGTCCCTTCTTGCACAATTAAATATGTGAATGTTTAATTTCCATGTTTTGAATGTTAGCCCACGCGATGCTTGTTTGTTCAGGCTTGTTTGGCATCTCGTATTTATTAATATACAATTAATGTTTTCTCTTATAAATATCTAACTGAGATTGACCTTTAATTCCTTCAGATTAATGAGGACTCCAGTCATTTTGACCGCAAGAAAAGGTTCAAGGATTACTGAAGAGCTTAAAAAAAACACACAATCACACACACAGACTGTATTTTCAACAACACTTGTGATGGATCATCAGACTTCAACAAATCATCACATTTACTTCACAGATGTCTGTATCGTTTAAATTCATTTCTGATTGTAATAAAAGTTTAAAATCCGTTAATTCTGTTAAATCTTTTGTCTGAATGTTTAATTTCTTTGTGCATTAGGTCTGAAATGATGCAACCGGAAAATAAAACGCTGCTTTAAAGCCTTTAAAGAGGCGAGATTGTCTTTGTAAAGCAGCCACGACCGACAAGCATGACAAACTTGTGACACAACAATCTTAGCATGACAACAGCTGCTGATTAAGCCAATTTATTAGAAATCAATGACTTAATTGAATTTGTTACAGTTTTGGTAATTCCATTTTCTGCCACAGTGGCCATGTGCATGTGTGATGTGGAAAATTACACCAGCTGATTCTTGTCTCCGTACCTGAATGTTGATTGTGATGTCCACAACAGCACCGTACGCTCATTCAGGATAACCACAGTCATTGGAAACAGAAAGAGTGAACAACTTTTTCCCCCCTCTTCTCCGTACTGCAAATTGGTGTTCATTATAAAAATTGGAATTTCATATCAGGAAAGGAAAAGAATCAGCAGGGGGCATATGTTTTAAAGAGAACTCATTTTCTGGCAAAGCCCCACAGACAGAGCACCATACTAATCGCCTGGTGCTTTAGGGGCCAGGATTCATGAACTGTGCTGACACCGTGGAGGCCCCGCATTGTTAGAGCGCCGTTGTAATGCACACCAATGAACCCCAAACTCTGCATGCACTTCTGGGAAAAGGTGAACATTATAAAAGCACATAGAATTAAAGAGAAATTAAACCACATTCCACTGCACTGCCAGAACAATGCTCGCTCATTTGTGATACTTCACATCGTCGGGTTTAATATTCATGCTTGTAATTTGCATAACACAATCATTCCCTTTGACGGGGTGAGACTTTTCGAGAAGTGTTACATTCTACTTTGACTTCTTCGGCAAAGTTAAAGAGGAAAACGTTGTCCAAAGTGTTTTAATCTGAAAGTCAGTACGAGCGTCCCCTGAATTGATTTACACTTATCCTTTTATGGAGTTTTCAATAAGTTTGCAACATCCTCATAAAAGATAATTATGCTTTTATATCATATCCTCTAAAATATGGTTTTAATTCAATTTGGTATACTTGCGTGAGAATAATTAATGTTTACAGATAAAGCATAAAATCCCATAAATTCCCTTCAAATAATCCCAAAGCGTTTGGCGTGAAAGCCAACTTTCTCCCTCCCAGTGTCCTCATCAAGGACCCGCCTAATTGCACGTATATCAGGACAACAAAACCTGCTGGTATCTATGTTTCCAAATTTGATTTAACCTCACTTTCTCCTTCGCGGACCCCCTGGTGGATATTCACTTTGTTTACCTCAAATTAAACTTCATATTGTTTACAGCCTCCTGGTCCCTGAACATTTTATAGCATTTTAGAATTATTTCTTTATTTATTTTTTGTAATGATTGTAGAGTTGGGATTCATTTGAATGTTTCCCTCATCTGCATGAAAATTATATAATTAACTTTTGATTAACCAGCTCAGTTGAGTTGGTTCCCCCATGCACACTGGTGAATAGTACCCACCGCATTTTAATGACTGTTTTCCAATTGAGTGGCGACCTTTTCATCAAAGAGCCACAACTGGGGCTAAACAACGGTAGAAAATAATCACGGGGAAGACAATAGCAAGGGCCGACAGGCTAGGATGTCATCCTTAAATATAACAACAAAGATGAAAGCAACCTTGCTGCACGTCGTGGCTGTGGCGAGGAGCCAAGTGCTTGTGCTGTTGGATGCTCCATTGTTAAAGCTGTGGAGGTCACGTCCATTGGCTTATAGAGAGGGAAAGCACAGGAAGCTGAAAATGGCTCATTGTTACATGTCCTTGCTCAGAGGGAATTCCATTATGAAGGGCGCTACATTTTTGATACTTTGATTTTTGTGCCATTCATTTGTTTGAAAAACAGAACATATTTGGATAATGGCTTCAGGAAACAGAGGGGTCTCAGAGCTCCTCCATCCAAGGCTACTGCTCTGCATTAACACACCTGCCAATCAAGCAGAGCGCAGCAGATGCGCATCCTCGCACCGCCTACCATCACATAAGCATTCTATCATATGCATAATATAGTTTTCATTTCATCACAATTATGTTCCCCGCGCCGTGTGTGTGTGTGTGTGCGTATTTCCGATGGGTCATAGGAAACTTTTATTGAAGCGCAGTGTATAATAATAAAGTCATTTTCCAGGTGCTTGTTGTGGCTCTTATTATGAACAGAATGATAATTTCCCCTGGAGGAATCCGGCACTGCATATCAATTGAAGTTTAGTGTGGGTCTTATTATGTTCCCGCAGGCTATAGTAGAAGGCAAAGTCATCTTCAGAGAGAGTCTAAATGTCAGGGAGGTCTTCAAACACTTTTTTTTTTCCTCCTGGAGCCTTACTGAAGAGGGGTCTTTGGAAGTGCTACGTCTTGGAATTGATACAGTCGAGGTGAGGCTTAATGTAAAGCAGTTGACATGAAATTTAATTGGAAAGAAATGTTTAAAAAACCAAGGAAGAGGGTCGTGGAGGAGGAAATGAAATTACTAATGCATTCTCAGGTGCAGCATTCACTCAGCCCCAGTTACTGATTTGTCATTTCCACTCCCGTCCACATGGTGTCACTCTTGAGCTGTGCGTTTCGAATCCGCTGCCAGCTGTCAGCCTCTCAGCAATTCCATCGGTTAAGTTGCAAAAACTGTTATTCCTCTAAATCTAACAAAGACTTCAATCAATCATCTCAAACTCTGCGAAAGAAGTTAATTTTTCTGCACGCCGACGGAAGAGGTTTGTATTTTCAACAAAAAGTATTTTGTACAGTTTTGCAGCCGAACTTTGCATTGCCTGGAACCACACTTCCTGTATAATGAGGAGATTCATACGCGAGTATTTCATCTGTGGAAAGTCATGAATATCTAAAGTCGTCTTAGTTTTGCATTTACAAGGCGTTAATTTATCTTATTCTAATTTTCCTCCTTTTTTTTTTAGACTGAAGTCGAAGTGCAGCATGCTTTACACTGGCATGTACCGTTCTGCAGTGGATTGGCCTTCCTTCTTCGTCTTTGGCTGGCAGGGAACCTTCCTGTTGTGATCCGACTTCTCTCCTTTGATCAAAGAACAGTGTTAAAGCACTGGGAGAAGGAGGAGGTATGAAATATGAATGAATACAGCTGTGTTTTGATGGATATGTCTCAAAGTATCCCAGTAAGAGACTGCTAAAGGCCAGGAAATCTGTTTGTGTTGTGGAAATAGGCTCCTTCCTCGCTCGTTTCTGTAGCGGCTTCATCTTGGGTAGCTTTTCACTTCATATTTTAGAGCGCCTTTGTTAGGAGAGAGATCAACCCCTCATCCGTGCATGTGTAGGAAACTGTTCTAAGAGGGCCCTAGTTCATAATATATATCATTAATGACACCATTTCCTTTGTTTGGTCTTGAAACCACCTTTTGAACAAAAACGAGCGGCTGCCACAAGACGAGGATATTTATTATTTTTCTGGGGTAGACCCAAAGTTCTCACAGATGGAATGAGATCTTATATGAGGTGATGGAGGCTTTGTCACTAGTTATGTCTGCGATTCCACTTCCTTTTGCTCAAACCCCACCGGGGGGCTGTGACTCATTTTGAAGATGGAAGTTGATACTGTGGTGTAAAACTCGCGTTCCCATCTGAATTGGGAAACTATCAGAGCTCAAACAAATCTGAGATTTTCAGAGAGTTAGATGAACTCATCTCTCACGTTCCACTTCTTTAATAAACACAGATAATAAAAAGAGGGAGATGCTCATAAAAACACAATTATTAGGAGGGATTGTAAAATGAAAATTGGCGCCTATAGATGTCTTTTAAACGCACCGCGGCTCCTCTGTCTTATTAACAATCATTAAAAGACCCTGTGCAGTCATTTAGGGCTATATTAACTAAGATAGAGCCTCTGGACCTGTGGCAGGACAGTGTCTCTGGACTATACTGCAGGTTCAAAACTTTCTGCCCGGGCTTTATTAGCCTCACTAATAGCTGGGTTCCCCAAATGCCAGGGTCCACCTCTGCTGGGAGGACAGGGTCTCAGATCCTGTCAGAGAGGGGTCGCATTAACCAACTGTAATCTTTAGGGTACTCCACTCCCGCTGACCTACATCTAACGCCGGTTCCATCCCTTCCGCTTACCCCCGACCGCTATTCTTTCCCTCCCCAATCTGGTCTACCCATCCCACTCCAGTTATGCCACCCTCGGCTCTCCCTCCCACGTCTAACCACCCTTGTGTGATAGCATCCCCCCCACCCAGACCCGCCCCACGCCTGTTCCAGCCCGGTCCGGCTGGCCACAGCGAGGAGCACGACTTATCCTGTGGTAACGGCAATTAGCAGCGTAAAGCAAGCTGTGGAGAAGACCGGATCCCTGTCCACGTTTCAACCCCAGATCATGAGTCTCCAGCACAACTTCAAGGCAAAGCATGCAATTAGCTACAATAATGATAATGTGTTGTAGGGGAACAAAGAGAGGCTAAAACAGACTACTGGTGTGAGGCAGAGTGGGGTGCTAATAGTAGGGGGGTTATTTGAATACCCCGGTGCAGATAGGAGACCGAATCAGACTGATTATCAAACGTATGATGAATTATATTTTTCCTCTAATTATCCCTGCCTTTTATGTGCAAACCAACTGAGTGAATTTTGCATTCTAGACATCTCTGGTCAGTGGTCTTTGGGCATCACACTGGGGTTACATCTTTTATTTCCTCCAAGAAACATACAAGGAGTTGCTCATGTGGCTAAGCTGATGGGAAGAGGAGAGAGAGATGCACCGGCAATTTCTCTTAGTTGACTTAATTAGATACTTTGAGAAATATTTGGCAGCAGTACAATGATGGAAATAAAAGGGGGGAAGTGTGCGGTTTTGATGTTTGACTATCGCAGATGTGTTGACACGGAGTCAAAACACACTGGAAACAAAACCACAAAAACCCAGACCGCAAATAAGAAACATTTCAAGTCAAGGTTGTGAGTAGATACAGTGGAGGAGCAGACTTACTGGAACACAAAAAGTGCAGCCCGTATTCTCTCCGCTGTGAGCAGAGACCATTCCTGCAGTCTTACATCCAGAGGTTTATAGAGGATATTTCGCTGGGTGTTGTGCAAAACGAAGCGTGTCCCCAGAGCAGCAGCAACTTCACCTTGGCGGAGTAATGCTGTGATATTCTGTTTATTCTTCACTCACTTCATTTTACTCAGAGGAAATCCTCTGGAGATGGCTTATCTTGGAGCTGGAACAGGTGCACTCTAATTTACTCCTATTGCTTGGGGAGCCCAGGGGCCCCTGTAGAGAAGAAAGTAGCGATGTAGCACACTCCACTGTAAAACACAAACAGCCAGAGAAAGAGCATTTAATCGAAAGAGAAGAAAACTGTGAGCTTTGAGTGCAGCCGTATCATTTGGATGCAGAATTTTTTTCGCAGTTGTTGTTGTTGTTTTTCCCGAGGAAAAAAAAGGACCCTTCATTTCATTTAACTTTCATTTGTTCAACACTGTTAACTTTGCTTGAAACTGTCATGCTACACTTGGCAAAGCAGCAGATGACGTGTGGGACCTGTTGTATTACCCCCGCATAATAAAACACTTCCTCACCAGTCATTCCTGGAAAATCTACAGCTTTTAGAGCTAAGAAATGGTTTATAGCATCTCTAATATGCGCCACTTATGCTAAAGTGCACGTAAATTCGACTGCTATGGCCTATTTGTTTCTGTAATGCTGCACATTTTCAGCCACGAAAAAAAAAAAAAGTTTGTTTCATCTTTCACCCTCATCCCTGCATCCACCGCAAAAGAGCTAAGCTTTCAACTTTGAATTTACTCTCCAATTCCTTTTTCTTTAGAGAACTATGGTTTTGAAGAGTGGAGCTGGTATGTTATTTGTTCGGTATATTATAAGTCTGAATTCAGTCAGTATTTTTGTTTTGTGTTGTTCGTCTCTGGGGAATTATGCAATCAAAGCAGATGCCTCAAGCAGTCTAGAAAGCGCCCCTTGTGAATAAGAGAAAATCTTGTACACAGCATTTTTTTGTATGTGTGTATGAAGAAGGGGGGGGCATGACAACAAAGCAAATATATGGCATTGTTCTCTGTATTCTATACCCGTATGCTGCACCTTTTTTTTTTTAAGAGGATATAACTACCACACCTGTACTCATTTTTCAAAAAGTGTCATTTGATTTGACTTTCATTCATATTCAGATTCGGCTCAGCTGATGAGTTGATGACTGGAGTCTGTGAATCACTCTGACTGATGCAACAGAGGTTCAACCGACAATTTGCTGTATCTTTATGATGGAAAATAAGGTTTGAAGACTGTGTTGGTGGTAGGGTTTCACAATCTATAAACAGACATTTCTTACTCTGAGAAACTGAAAGACAAACAGCAGAGAGACAAAGGCTTCTTCTTTTTTTTTCTTTTTTTTTTTGAGTGAGTGAGTGGAAAAATGAGTAAACACAAAGAGAGAGCCACACAAGGACAACAAGAGAAAAATCATATACACTTTTAATGAGTGTGCCTGCCCCGAGCTTCTGTTTTTAATCACCTTTCCGTGTGACATAATTTGCTGCGAGATTGTATATGCTTGAGGGACTTTCAGTTCTTGTCAACTCAAGAGCATTTGAACCAATCAATACCTGTCTATCCTGTGGCACACTCATAGTTGGCCATTAGGAAAGAGCTGCTTAAAGTAAGCTCAGCCAATACCATTAGCCCTAGCCTAAGGGCAGTTCCATGCCTTAGTCAGGGTAGGCACCTGCCCCCGTCACCCCCACCTCACCCCCTTAACCCCCCTCCGCCCCTCCCCCCACCATTAAGAACCTCCCCTGAGACATCATTTGGACACATCGGCCAAAGAGCACTTCTTTATTCCCTCTCTTTTCTTTCCCCGGCTCCACCAAAAATCAATACATCTCCCCTTTTTCTTATTTTCACAATTTTGCCTCAATATTATTCTCTACTCTTGCCAGAAACCAACCGACTATCCTTTTTTTTTTTTTTTTTTTTTTTTTGTCTTTTCATCTACAATTTCCTGTGACTAATGTCTTCACACCTCATGTTTTTGGAGGAAAAGAATTGGAAAATAATTTAATTATCTTGTCATGGTCTCTCTGTGCTGAGACATTTACACAGCTAAGTCATTCTGCATGTTTTTACTCCTGTTTTTTTTAACCTTATGGATTTCTGCTTTTTCTGTTTTCCTGCCTTTGCAAACTCAGCGGGTTTAGTATTTGTGCTTAAACCCAGCCATTGGTTTTTGACACTCAATAAGGGAGACATCAGCGCTCAAATATCTCCCCAGTAATGAGTGAACTTCCTCTGTGTCAGTGTTTTTCTGCTCCGACCATGTCATAACACCAAACCCCAGAGAACAGAGGGCCGTTCACAGTAATGCCTCCTGACTGCTTCTAATTTTATTGCGAGGCGATGACTCCACACAGCGCAAAGTTTCAGTGCGAGTGATACAATATACCATCCTTCGAAGGGGCCTCACTCAGTCACTCATTGCCCTTCCACACCCTCCACTTCCAATAGAAAGAGCAAAAGTGGGGTACTGCCCCCTAAATCTAGGCCTGTGCTGTTTACGTTAATAACTCTGAAGAGTGATAGCTGGTTCCGCAGCACTGGCGATTTCTGTGGCCGCCTATATCGATCGGGGGTCCTAATGAGCAGCCGCGGAGCTGTGGCTAATGGTGTTGTGTCTGGTGTCCGTAGTAAACGCCCACGTTGAGATTATCATTCCCAAGGGGGGCTGAGAAAGGTTTTGCCAGCCCGAGCCCTCAGGGTGCGAGCGACACACTTCAGGGGTCAAGGTAAACTATCAAATGAACAGCCAGGCCTTTCCTTCCCTTTCTTTAAGGACTATACGACTCTGCTACAGTAAGGCTGCAATCACTATGCACACCTATGTGATGAGAAACTTAAAATATACCCAAATGCGCATCCATGCTGTCCTCAAATCACAACTTTTGTTTGCTGATTTGATGTGCATTCAGATGTTTGGTAAGAAAAGAATAAATTGGCTTAAATAAAATCTATTAAATCATTTTGCTTATTATTTTAATTGTTTAATTTTTTTCTGTGTTTCCACTATTTTTACTAGGCCTCATTTCTTAAAGAGATCCCTGATTTAAATGGGACAAACTGTCTAAATGCTTTACCTGGTCATTTGGTCATTACCTGTCCTGTGGTATGAATTTGTGTGTATTTTTAAATCAGTGTGTAGCTGCTGCTTTCCAGGTTTCTCTCTCAAAGAAATCTCATCTTTTAAAGATGTGTTTGATCTCAGGAGGACAAACCGGACTCAGTGAAGTCTTAACAAAAATACATGATAACCTATCTCTTATAATACATACTAAAGCCTTATAAATGCATCCGTACGGCTTTATAACAACTCTTATGGTTGATTTGACGCATTCAGAGCAGCTCAGGGACTTTGGTAAGAGTGAAACAGCTCAACAGCGGTTGGGCTGAATTTATCTAACATGGCTAAACACAGAATCACTGAGTATGGCTTTAAGCTACGATTTTGCCAATGTGAATACATAATTGCTAACATTAGCTGAGCAAGCCTCACCAGAGAGCAGTCCTCCTCGCAGGTAAACATCCACACATGCCTGTGCTGGTTATTCATTGCCCTTGTCGAGACGATATACGCTTAGCTCGCGTACAACTTTATCTCCCTTTTTCAGATCAAAACATTGCCAACCCACACTGCGCTACTAGATGCCATCTGTCATCTACGCTGCTTAACATCCAGGTAGAGCTTTATAATGTTATGGTTATAGACATTAAATGGAGCTACACCTCTAGCCAGTGGCAGGTGGTTGTTTCACAGCTTTCATGCAACACACACATGTGAGACCACACACCACACCGACTTCGATACCTTTAATACCTACTGTGTTTCCTGTTACTGAAAGAAAGCAATCATATCTTTGGTTTGTTGGACATTTTACAGCTTGGGGATAATGCATCATCTAACTTGTCTATTTCTTGACTAAATCTCCCTCTGAATAAGTTTTGTTGGTTATTTTCTAAACTGCGTGTATAGCTGCTTAGTCAGGTGTCCTTTGTAAAACAGATTTCTGTTCTAAATGCGACAAACCTGTATGAATTAAGCTTTGATGGGCCTTTTTTCATTCCAATGCATAAACATAAAGTGGTTTGGATAATGCTAAACTCAGCAGCACCCATTTCCAACCTTACTTCACTACTACAGCTCTTTGCTAATTCCTCCACAGTAGTTGTAAAAAGCCATTACAGGGGCATTGATAGAGACTTCACTAAACTGCCTAACTGTTATTAAGAGACCTCGATGAGACCTGGCTTGACAGACTGATAATGGCTTATTTGACTTCAGAGATCACCCTGGCACAAACACTGTAGCCCCCTCCACGCACCCATGGCAGCCATTGTCCTTTGCTATGTGCAGCCGTTCTGCCGGTCTTGAGTGACAT